GTGTGTCGCCAGTAACCAAGGCAAGGCGTTTGAACCAGGGGGGTGTGGCCAGTTCCCCTCCCTTGTCACTACAAGGGGGATTACTGCCCTGTAAAACAAGTGCTATCCCACTTCACAGATGGGAAAACTGATGCTCATAGTAAATAAGCACCCCAGTTAGAAGCAAAACGCCACTGGCAAGCTAGATGCAGGAGAAGCCCTCGTGAGGAATGCAGAGAGGGGCATCTGGGTGGCTCAGTGGGTTAATCATCTGACTTCAGCTTGGGTCATGATCTCACCGTTCCTGAGTTCGAGCCCTGCATCGGGGTTGCTGCTATCAGCACAGAGCCTGGTTCGGATCCTCTGTTCCCCCCTCTCTCTGCCCCTCCCCTGCCTACGCTCTCTCACTCAAAAATTGAAAAAAAAAGGAATGCCGAGAGATCTCCTGCCGGCTATCATCAGCACCACCCTCAGCCCTAAGTCGGCTCAACCCTACCCAGCCTGGACCATTTGCCGCTGCAGACTCTTCTGTCTGACCCCCTCTGTCTGTCACCAGGGCTCCAATTAAAAGTACGGTGCTACTTCCCACCCTCTGCCCAACCCTAATATGTCTGAAACCTGTTTCTTAATTTGTAATTTTTACTTATGTGTTTCTATAGATTTTCAATTCTGAAAAGTAGGGGAAATACTGAGGTATTAATAAAAAGACGGGAAAGTTGCAGAGCCATAAGAAACCTCTACCAGCCCTTGTGGTACAGGTGTACCCGAGTTAGTGAGCGCTTACCCACCACGTGACCCACCAACAGAGCCCAGACCATGGGGAGCCATGCACATAACACAGGAATATATCACCACGACCCACGTACTCTGGCCCCAGACCCTGTGGAATCCCAGCCCTTTAGAGCTGAAATGGCAAGACCTGGAACATGACCTTTACGCCAGCTGCCGTAGTATCCAACATGGCTTCTATCTGTTACTCTTTAGAAAACCACACACCTAATTCATGGGATTCACAAGGCCTTCCACGCAGAAGATGTTATTGAGAGGAAGAGAAGCCAGAGCGAAGTAAACAAATGGATTGTCACAACAATTTGTAGACCAAATGCCCATTGCCTGAGGGAAGGCGGTGGAGGGAAGGCGGTGTGGTGGGTTGGCTCTCAGGCTTATTCTACACTCTTGGCTGCTTAAGGGTAGCCCTAAAGGAGGTGTCCCTACAGATGTCCCTGGTGTTCATTCAAGGACCAGTGGACAGTTCTTCCCTACTGAGATGGCAGTAGAGGGGAATGTGAGGGGGGAAAATAAGAAAAGAAAGCCAACTGCAAGCACCCAGGGGGTGATGTCAGCTCACTTGAGCAGATGTGGGCTGGGAAATGTGATCCTGGCCTCTGACCTGCATAGCTGGTTAGGAAAAAACTAAGATGTGGTCCTAACCCTCCCTGCCGACCACACCGAACTTGCAGGAATCGGGGCTACATAATCACAGAACTGGGTCACCACCCCCTACTACTCTGGAACTCCTTTCTGAGGCAACTGCAGCCTTGTTTTGACCCACTCCCTTCCTTATCTGTCTCTACTCCTACCTACCCTGATCCATGTAGAAACTACAAATCCCAGCACGCAACATAGCCAAGGAGGGGGAGGTCTTCTGGGATATGTAGTGCTCTCAGGTGCAGTGATCTAAGTGGTCCAAATTTTACAAGCTGTTTTTTGACCATGAGGTAGGACGCCAAAAATATCAGCCCAAGGCTAAGAAGTCGCTCCAAGGCTGTGACAGGCTACAGCATCCATCCCCACAGCCTTCCCACTAAATCTCACTAAACCCCCGTGGCTGGCCGTGTGCCTGTGTCCAGGCCCTTCACAGCCTCATCCAACCTGGGTGGGGCCTTGCTAACGCACAAATCTGTCATATCCCTTATCTTTCCCAACATCATCAGTGACTTCCTTCTCCTTATTGGGTTCAAGTTAAACTTGTTGGAGGCGCAGTCAAGAGTTTCAGAGCCCAGCCTTTCCTGCAAGCGTTCGTGTTCTGACCCAATCAAGCCCAAAGGAACTCCCCAAAGTCTCTGCCTCTCTCTTCTTTATCTACTCCCCAGCCCATCTGGAAGCCTCCTCTGCCCACAAACCACTGGAGCCACTACCAGCACCCGCATGTTTAGACACCAGGGGACCTGCGCTACCCACACCCAGCCCCGCCCCAAAACTCCCGCCTCTGGAGCCCTGCCCTGCAACTCCTCCCATCTTTCCTTAGAGCCAGGGCTTGGCTCCCCCCGCCCTGGGGAGTCAGGAGGCAGAAGGAGCGGGCTGTGTGGTTCTGGCATCCTCGGCTGCAACTTGGCACAGAATCGCTGGTAAAACGGTTGTCCGGGGTTGCATTCTAGCTAAATAGGCTTTTGCGGATTGGCCTGGGACCCAACTGCCATGTATAAGTGTTATTTGAGTGAATGTATGGCATTGTTTTCATGGAGAAAAGCCCTCTAAGCTCAGAGCATCTGACCAAAAGTGACCTTTGGGGACATTCCCCTTTGGGTTCTGGGGGCAAACTCTGGGTTTGGCTCCAATTGCAGAGAAAGCACGGAGAAGCCTCAGCACTGGCCCAGCTTAGCTGGGGGTGAGCGCGGGCAAGATCTATTTCCGTCTGATCTTCCTTTTAGCTGAGGCCCAGAAGGAAGCTTCCGGAAGGGGGTTGTCGGAAGCCTTCAGGACTTGGAGATTAAGACCGAGGGCGAGTGATCTCAAAAACCCGTCCACCAACTGACCCCGTAAAAATAAGATCAGGGGGCTTCCACTCGGCCTTTTGGGCTGAGGGAGTGAGGAGGGTTCAGTTGGGGACGAAGAAAGGGACAACGTGTTAGGAAGGTCTTACTCCGCTTGCCCTTTAGTTGGCCGAGGGCTTGGCGCTGGCACCAGGGGGCAGCAGAGGCGGAGAGATGCGCGGAGGGGCTTTTCACCTGCAAATGGTTTCCCTGCCCACCGTCTCTGCCAGGCTGGGCCTCTAGGCCCCATAGGAGAGCTTCTTTGGATCCAGAATGAGCTAGCTCCACCACTCCAGGGTTTCAAAGATCAGGGTTCTGTCCTCAGGGGACGGGGACGATCAAGGCTGTGCCGTCCGGGATCCGCCAGGAGAGGCGGGGCGCTGCCTACCGGGGACCTGGGTCCCTCCCAGGCCCGCCCCAGGGGCCTGCGGCCACCGGGACACCATACACACGCTCGGACACCCGCAGCCGGACGGCGAGCGAGGAAGGGGTGTCCTGATTGAGATGAGGCCCTGGAATAAGTTTCATTCTACTGCCAAGACGGGCAGGAGCCAGGAAATCCTGTGTGAGGATGAGCAGCCCCACGGGAGGTGGGGAGGCCAGCTAGCGATGCCTGGCTGAGCGGCTGCCCTGAACTGAAGGGACCTACCCAGACACCTGACCCGGAGGGCACAGAGCTGCTGAATAAGCCCTAAGAGGGGCCCCTGGGGAAGGAGGAAGCGGGGGCAGCACAGCATGCGATGAGACTAGGACTGTGCACCTTGACACAGAGAAAAGCCCGGCACTACGTAGCTGGGAATGCACACAGGTATGGGCAGGACACGAGGTGACCAGAGGTCCAGGGGCAGGAAACGCTGTCTTGGAAGGAGCCCAAGGTCCTTATTTGCAAAGAGTTTAGACCAGACCTTCTAAGCACCCCCTTCCAGCCCTGATGTCCTAAAAATGGGGAATTGGGGTGCGGGGGAGGTTGTGCTGGACCTGGAAACAAGGAACCCAGAAACATGCCAGCACCTGTGTGGGACAGAACCCTGGGCTCCCACCTGATGTCACCGGGAGATCAGTTTGGCGGTCCGCACTTGTCAGCCAGGTTTTATGAACTCTTTTCTGGGCCCTGACACTGCAAAAGGACAGGCCCTCTGGGCATAGGGATTAAGCCTTCCATTTCTGGTAACAGCTCAGCAGGCAAAGAGGGGTTTTGGATGGGGGCCCGGGTGGGGATTGAAATAACAACACAAGTACCACACTCATACGCCCAGGAGGGGACAATCACATTATTTAACCATCAGTCAGAAAGGACACTGGGCATGGGGCTAGACAAGGTCCTGGGACCTTCCATCCATATGCCACACATTAGCCCTTCCATTGCGGGATCAGGGAAGGCGAGGTGGGGGAGGCTCAGGGGTGGGACCAGGGTGGCCAGGCTGGCGGTGGAACACTCAGCGGGCTGAGTCGTGGCCATTTACCAGCTGATGAGGAAGAAGCATTTCGATATTTCAACAGCGCTGAATACAGGCCCTGCACTCACCCCTCACTCTTCTGTTTCACCCCTGGGGGCTCGGCCTGCTCCCCAAGTAGCAGGCGGTTCCTGCAAGCCCCAGACCAAGTGAGAGACAGCCGGTGTGGGGGTCAGGGAGCCAAACACCCGGTAGGGGGAGATGAGAAAGCCCCACACTGGACAGAGAGAGTCAGACCCTGAGGCAAAGGAGACCATATATTCCAACATTCACAGTGGGTGCTACAGGCGGGCTGTGAGGGAGGTGGGGTTTGGCCTGAAAACCTCCCCCCACAGTCACTGAGGAAAGCCCTGAGGCAAAGAGGAGGGTGCCGGGGCTCACCCCTGGAGAGCCCTGTCTCCAAAGTCCGCTGATTTTTGTTGGCATTTCTCTCTTTATCTTGTTTGTTCTTTTGTTTTCCACTCTTTAAATAATTAATATAATTACTTTTAAATACAAAATACACAGTGTCCTTTCTCTTCTCTTCTGCTTGTTTGGGGTGATTGGGAGGTGCGTTTTAAATAAGGGTCTCGGCTGTCCAACGGGTCACAGGCTCCAAGTGGGAGGACCAAGAGCCCCAGATGCCACCCCTCCCCTGGGGCATCCCGGCACCCGCTTCACCCCTCCCCTGGTCTGCCCCTGGCTGGGGGCTCCCGGAGCCCTGGCCTGAAGCCACCTAGATGGTGAGGAGCCCTCTCGGGAGGTGGCACAGAGCTGATGCTGTGGGATTCCAGGTGGGCCTGGTTTCGACGGACAGGGTCAGACAGAGGAGGACCTAGCCCATGAAGCAGACAGGCCCCAGCAGCACCCCTCCCCGTTTCGGGGGGGCCCCCAGGTCTGAGAAGGAGGCGTCCAGCACTGGTAGCTGCTCCAGCACAGGTGTTCGCACCTCCAGCACCGTGCGGCCTTGCTGTGTCTTGAGGGGGGAGACGGGATAGAGGGAGCAGTGAGCATGGTGGAGGCGTGCACACGCCCCACGGGTCCCCCAGCCTCAGGCCTAGCCCCTAGCTGCTATTCCCCCAGTCCCTGTCACATGATCCAACTTGCTAGATTTTCTTCTTCAAATTTCTTCCAGAGCATCAGGATTGGGAACGTGTGCGCGTATCTGTGCTCCTGAACGAGTCTGTGCAGCCTTGGGTTTGTCCTTGAGATTGTCTACGTGTGGTGGTTGTGTGAGTCTGTGGGACTCCATAGCGATGTGTAAACACGTGTCCGTGGTGTAATCGTGTGATAATATCTGACATGATTCCACATGTTGTGTGTCCCCGTGTGACCCTGTCCAGACAATTCTGGGGATGTATGTACAGACGATGGGTGTCTGGGTCCTCCTGTGCCTTCCTGGAATGGGTGATTTGCACCCCCGTGTGCCTCTGTTGGGCAGCCTGTGTAAATGAGTGCACGAGCCTGCACGACTCACTCTGGGTGATGCTGGTGTGTGCGTGCAGGTGAACCCCACCTTCCATCCTTTCCACCCCGCCCCCCATCACCCCCGTCTGAGCTCCCTCGGGCATATCTGACACCGAGAAGCTGGACTTCTCCTGCTCTTCCTGGTGCCTCTGCCCAAAAGGTCTTCCCCCAGCCTGACTCTGGGATCCACCCCCACCCAGCTCTTCCGGTTCCCACCTGACAGCCGTCTCTGAATTCCTTGACGTAGGGGCTGGTCTCCAGGCTCAGCTCATCCTCGTTGGCCCCCCGGAGCTTCAGGGGACCATCTCGGGCCATCCCAGAGCACGGGTAGGAGACATCCTGGTGGGCTGAGACGCTGAGCAGCCGCAGGAAGGTGAGCTGGACCACACCTACCGGGGAGCCTTCTGAGTCCACGTAAGAGAACTGGCAGGAGAGAGGGCCACAGTCAGGGGCAGACAGAGACGGGCTTGCGGGGCATCTACAGACGCAGGGTAGCTGGGCCACGGTCAGGGGCAGGGAATGGGTGGGCAGAAAGGGCCGGGGGAGAAATGAGGGGCCAGAGTGGGAGCCAGGGACTGACTGAGGGTAAACAAGAGGCAAACTTGGTCTTGGGTTATCAAGGGAAGGAGACACAGTGAGCGGCAGAGGGCCGGTGAGAAGGAAAGAGTCAAGGAAAGAAGCGGCAGCAGGCTCCGCAGGGGTGAGGGTGCCTGTCACATAAACCTAGAAACCACTAGGCCCTGACTGGGCCATGCTATGGGGCAGGGATGAGCAGTCAGGCGCCAGCTCTCACTTGTGTGACATCATCCCGGGGCGTCACACATGTTTCCCCTCCTGCTGTAAAGTTGCAGAAAACCCGGAAGGCATCCCGAGCACAGCCCTGGTTGGGGTCGACCCAGTACTCTCCTGTTGGGTGAGGGAGAAGGAAGGGTCAGCGCCCCAACAGGTGGGACCCAAGGTGCTCCTTGCCTCCCTTCCCACTTCTCCCCTGATGCTGCTCCAAACCCCAGCACTCCCTCCCACGTCCTCCCCCCTTGACCTCCTCCCCACATGCTTCCCTCATGACCTCACCACCATGCCCTCCCCCCTTGACCTCCCTCCCATGACCCCATACCCTCCCCACCATGCCCTCAGTCTCCTCATCCCATTCTCCCCCAGAGCCCCACACCACCACCCACCCTTCTTCACATTCCATCATCGCTTACACCCCTGCCCGTCTGTGGCACCCCTCCCCCCAGCAGCACCCCCAGGCTCCCAACGGAGGAGGCAGGAGCGCTGACATCCTCACGGGGATACAACACGTGATTGTAGATTCGCACACATGGCCATCCGTGTAAATGTGAGCACACGTGTACACATGTGTATATTTGTCGCTTCCCATAGGCAGCAGGCTGACGACGAGCTGCCGTGCACTGGGAGGACCAGATCAACTGGGAAATATGGCAATACTTCTGACCTAGTTGGCAAAGAGCTGCCCTTCCAAGCCCCTCAGCGCTCACCCCCACCCCACACCTTCCCCAAGAACCCCCTCCATCCATTCTGCTTTTCAAGCCCACACTGTTATTTTTGTTTCCTGAGGCCGGCACTGACCATCAGGCAGCTCCGGGTGGCAGAGCTTCAGGTCCTGGCAGGTGCGAGCGGGGCTGTCCTGGGTCCCTGTCGGCCGCCTCATCTGCTCAATCTCCTCCCGCAGGGAGTCCAGTGAGCCAAAGATCTCCTCCAGCCCCCCAGCGCTGCCCGGAGCCCCCCCAGCCGGTATGGCCTCATCCTCTTGCATCAGGCGGCTTCCGTCCACGGAGCGCCGAGTCTTTTTGGGCATCTGGATGGGCAGGGGCTGGATCACCTCACCCGGGGGGCCCTGGGTGGAGAGACAGATGGAAAGGGTGACAGGCAAGGTCGATATGAGGATGAAATGGAGAAACACTGGGACAGAGAGGGACAGTCAGAGAAGCAAGCCCTGGCTTGTAACTTACCGGGTGTCCCGGAGGACCCTGGACGCCCTTCTCTCCCTTGGGTCCAGCTGGGCCCTGCCAAAGGAGTAGATAGGTCATGGAAGGGTCAAGAGGTCAAGCATGTGATCAGGGTCACAGAAGGGTCAGTCTCCAGGCCAGGGAGGAACTCCACTGGAGGGAGCACATTTGCCCGGGAGAGAAAGTGTCAAGTCCAGCTGGGGGAAGGGGGCAGAGCTCAGAGCTGGCTGGGGGTCACTCACTGTGGCTCCTTTGGCTCCTTTGGGGCCAGCAGGTCCCTGTGAAATGAGGTTACAAGACAGAGATGGTCAGCACAGGGGACGGTTGGGATATGGAGGAATGGAGATGCAAAGTCATGAGTCCACAGACCCTGGCTTTACCACAGGAGGGGCAGGCGTGAGGGAACACGGGGACATTTGGGAGGCCCCGAAAGGACGGGGAAGGAAATGCTGCAGATGTAAGGACATATGGAGGACCCTGGGACCTATGCTGGTTAGGCTGGTGGTTGCCATGGAAGCCATTGGGGGATTATGGAGGGGGGAGCAGTGGGGTTTAGGGGATTTTGTGAGGAACAGATGGGGTACTCACGGGGAGGCCAGGGGGCCCTCCAGGACCAATAGGCCCAGACGCTCCTGGAATACCCTAGGAAGGAGAGGGGCGTGGTTCAACTGGGTCCTCCTCCACACCCCCTCCCTCACCCCTTTCTCCACCTCCACCCTCACCCCCAACACGAATCCCCACACTCATCCTCCCAGACCTTTCAGGACCATGTCCTCACCGTCTCTCCCTTCTGTCCAGCGGAGCCCTGGGGGCCAGGAAGTCCCCGATCACCCTTCTCTCCCTGCTCCCCAGGGGGCCCGATCAGTCCGATGAGACCTGGGTGACCCTGGAGAAGGGACAAGTGGTCAGGGGGGTGCAGAGAGGAGACACGTGGATGCAGAAGAAGGAGCCCATGGGGGTGACAGCGCAGAAGGCAAGAGAGACTTAGGCACAGGGTCTGACAGAACAGGGCCTGTGAACGGTCGTCACTGGGTAAGCACCCCCAGAGATGGTGCTGGAGCCCTGAAGCATAGTGGTGGGCACTCAGGGTCCCCCTAGGCTTCAAGGGTGAGGGTGAGGGGAGATACTTGGCCGCATATCTGTGTCACTCACCTTCTCTCCCTTGGCTCCGACATCACCCCGGAGGCCAGGAAGCCCCGGAGGTCCCTGTGGGGAGACAGGAAGTCACTCTCTCCAGGGAGGGGTGGGACCAGGCCCTCCCACCACCACTTCCCACTTCCTCCAGGGCTTCAGCTGGATTCCCCCTGCCCCAGGGAACCAGCATCCTCACCCCGACCCACCCCACTAATCCACAGTCACTCACCACAGGACCTGGAGGCCCAGCCTGGCCTGGGGCCCCAGGACGGCCTTGCTGACCCTGCAGATTCAAGGAGGCCACAGAGGTGAGGAAAAGTGTCCCCACACAGGTACCCCTCAAGGCCCCTCACCCCTCCTACCCCAGCCAAGCCTTTCCATTCCATTACTCACCACTGAGCCTGGGAGACCTCTTAACCCATCAGGACCAGGTTTCCCTGCTGGGCCTGCAGGGCCCACGGGGCCTGTCTTCCCCGGGGCACCTACAGCGCCAGGATCCCCCTGAAACACATACAAGGAGTGAGCCTTAAAGGGTAGAGGAAGGGAGTGTGGGTGGTGGTAGGGGGTCCAAGGCGGACTGGATGAAGCAGAGAGGAGGGGTCAAACCCCAGGAGCCCCTTGAGCAGGAGTAAGTATAAGGAACGGAACCCCCATCCGAACAAGAGGCTCAACATAGAGGAGGTCAACACAGGGTAGACATCTAGAGAGAGGAGTCTGGGGAACCAGAGGTGCCAGGAGATGGAGGGAATATTCCAGCCTCTCCCTTACCTTGGCCCCCTTCTCTCCTTGCCGCCCCTCAGGACCAGGTGTGCCAGCGGGACCCTGCAGATGGATACAAGGAAGGAAAAGTCGGTGAGGTAGTGAATAGCCAGGCTCAGCCGCTTTCTCCACTCACACACACTTGGGCATGCACAGACGCGGTCACAGAAGCTGAGCCACAGACAAGCTGGTACAGCTGCACCCGTTGTTAAAATACCGAGTAGTTCTGTGCATCTCGCAAAAAGCCACTTGCCCACACACCATCTAGTGCCCCACCTCCTGCCCCAGCAACTAGAGGGTTAATCTTTGGCCTAGCAGGGGCCCTCCAGGAAAGCTAGCCCCTTCCTCCAGTGTCTGTTCTGATCAGTTGGTGAATACCACCGCCCCTGGCAAGAATATATACAGCAAAACCCAAGAACAGACACACTCAGTTATACACAGACACTTAAAAATACAAATGTTCACACACACGTGCACCCCACCCAAGGACAGCCTAGATCCCAAGCACCTCCCTGCCCATCCCATGTGTTACTGTCCCATCCTCTATCCACCCTAAGGACCGCCCCACAAGTTCCCAGGTGTCCACCTCACTTACCCGCTTCCCAAGTGGTCCAGGGGGTCCATTCTCCCCAGTGGGACCAGGGGATCCCTATGGAGGGGGGAGTAGGGGTAAATGAGTGGTTAGCCTCCAGCCAGTGGACCCCTCAGGAGTAGGGCATAAAAAGGGGGCAATGGGCCTGAAGGCTTGGGCTCCATGGTGGAGGGAGGGGTCACTGGTCACTCACGGGCTGTCCTGGCTCGCCATCCTCTCCTCGGTCACCCTTTGCACCATCCTGGCCCTGCAGGGATGAACCAAGGTCAAGGGTTGCCCCAACCCAGCTGGCATCAGCCCAAAACTGCTAATCCTCCCATCCCTCCACCTGCCCTGCCCCGCCCCCAGCTTCTCACACTCAAAACGCATCAGCCACATGGAGGCTCCGTACAGAAGCCCACCCTCTTTCCCCTCTTTCTCTGAGGAGGACTCACCCGAGGGCCACCTTCTCCAGGAGGGCCAGGATCACCAGGAAAACCAACAGGACCCTAGTCCAGAAAAGAACAGGCAAGGTCACAACCCCCTAAGCCTACCCAGAGCCAACACAGACCCCCATGGGCACATGTGACACCCTCCCTCTCTATAGGCAAGGCCCGCCTGCACCCCTTGAGAAGATGGTCTCCTGCACCCACTTTTCTCACCTCATGCACTTTATGCCTTCTAACGCTTTCAGGGAATTAATTAGAAGGCATCTCTCACCTTCTGTCTCTGGATTCCAGACCCCATACATCCCTCCCAGATCTCATTCCCAGAGACTTCCGCCCAAGTACTCCCCCCATCCTTGGGCTCTCCCCACTCCAAGACCCTCCCACTCATACACACCCATATTCCCAGGTCTCTCATTCCCAAGACCCTCCTCCCAGCCCTGCCTCCCCCCCTCCGCCAAACTCACAGGGTTCCCTTTGGGGCCATCATCACCGGTGGGGCCTTTAGGCCCTGGTGGTCCGGCCTCTCCTGGCTGCCCTGATTCTCCTTTCTCCCCACGCTCCCCACGTGGGCCCTGGAAGATGAATGGAGGGTACAGATGGTCCCAAAGGGGTCTTGAAGATCAAGGATGCAGCCCCTGCTTCCAAAACACCTTCAGCCTCCCCTCTGTCCCCTCAGTGACAGCAGGATGCACACAGAAAGTCAAGCCCACAGGGAATCATCTGGTCCCTCTTCCCTTCAAAGAAAGAGTGTGGGGCTCACTCAGACCCAGGGGTCCAATCTCCCTGAGTATGGGGAGCACAGGCTCCTGGGCTGTAGAAGAGCTCCAGCTCTAGCAGATCACACATCGGGGGTGGGGCGCTGAGGTTGAGGAAGGTGATGGGGATTAGGGAGCAAAGCCTCAGAGCTTTCATTCACCTTGACACCTGGCTCGCCCTGGACCCCTGGAGATCCTGATTCTCCTGGCTCCCCCTGAAAGAAGACTGGGGTCAAACACCTCCTTCTCCCCCAAAATCCTGCTATTCCCCCCCCATCTCATTTTCTTTTGCCACCCCCAACCAAAACTAACAGACGATCCAACCCTCATACCCCCGCCAAGGCGAGTCCATTCATTCACCCCCTTCCCAGTTACCTTCTCTCCAGGGGGACCCAGGTTCCCAACACCTCCCGGGGGACCTTGCGGACCCTGAAAGAGGAACAGAAGTTAGGGTAACTGCTTAAGGAAGGAGGTGCCATTCCAGGGACAGAGCCTGGATGAGCGCCCCAAGGTCACAGCAGTGAGACAGTGGGAGGCCTTCCAGGCCAGAGGCTTCTCTCAGCAGCTGAGATGAGACTAGAGTTTATAGTCTGAGGAAAGGGAGGCAGGACTGGCCACGTTGATCTGAAAGGACAGAAGCTAAGAGGACTCACATCAGCTCCATTGGGTCCAGCTGGGCCTCGAGGTCCTGGGGGGCCCGGAGGTCCCTGGGGAAAGCAGATAGGGCAGAGATGGGGAGGGGAGAGAAAGAGCATTAGGCACACAGAAATGGCAGGGGGCTGGGTGAGGCAGACATCCTGGGGGTGGCAGGGGACGGGGACAACCCTACCAGGGAGCAGGGGCATCGGCGGCAGTGGGGTGTTGGGGCTGCTGGATGGGGGGGTGACTAGTAGGTGGGCTTGGGGCTAGGGGGTCACACTCACCATAGGGCCCACATCTCCTGTTTCTCCTTTCTCCCCCGAGGGGCCTGGCAAACCCTGTGTGGGGGTACACAGCACGTGCCCAGATGACCAACCCCCTAGAGCACAGCTCCAGGTAGACAGTGCCCTTCCCTCCAATCCCACATGCCCCCTAGTCCTCAGCAGCAGGGGATGGTGGGGGTCTGGGGCAGACATCAGACCCATCCTGACCCCACCTCTCAGCCCCTGCCTCTACCTTCCAACTAACCTGTAGGCCAATGGGTCCCGGGGGCCCATTGAAGCCTCTTGTTCCTTCATCGCCTTTGGCTCCAAAGTGTCCCTGGGGCCCCCGAGCTCCGGGCTCCCCATCTGCTCCCTGAGGTGGAGAGAGGGCAGGGACAAGGACACAGAGACGGTCATGGGTCAGGTGTTCTCTATTCACAAACTCCACACTGAGCTGGGCACCAGCCCCAGAGCCCCCACAGGGCAAAGCGGAACTGAGGGCAGACTAGAGGCTGCCAGTGCCCCTGGTGGGGGCAGACAGGGCATCAGTCACTCACCGCTGCTCCAGGTTGCCCCACGGGACCAATGGGCCCAGGGGGTCCAGGAGGGCCCTGCAGGGGAAAAGGAGAGTCAAAGACACCAAAGACAGGAAGAGAGACCAGGTGGAAATGAGGCTAAAGGTCAGAGGTCAGAAGTCAAAAGTCATGGCCACTTACATGTTCACCCTTATTCCCTTTAGTGCCCTTCTGCCCAGGGTCTCCCACCTCACCCTGCAGGGAAAAGGCAGGTGAGATATTAGAGAAAGGACCTGGATGAGGCAGGGAGGTTAAGACAGGAAAGGGGATGGGAGGTATGCCCAGATCATCGATCTCATCTGGAAAGATTGGGTCCAGGGTCTGTGGGTTCCCACACCTTGTCTCCATCCTCTCCTGCCACGCCTGGGGGTCCAGCGGGACCAGGAAGCCCCACAGGGCCCTGCACCCCATCTCGGCCAGTTGGACCAATGGGGCCCTTCTCACCCTGTAGGAAATGAAGAAAGGAGTCATGACCCAGAATCATCACCTTCAAACACCCTCACAGGAAACCCTCCAGAGCCCAGCAGCTCACAGCTCACAGACCCCTCCCCAGTGTGTGTCTCCCCAGGGACCCCACACTCACCGGGACACCTTTCTCTCCTGCAGCTCCAGGGGGACCCTGTGGGCCAGGGCGCCCTGGGGGGCCAATGGGTCCGCCTGATCCTGCTGCACCTCGCTCCCCAGGGGAGCCCTGAAACAGGAAATGGCGTCAGACCCCCAAGGAGGAGACCACAGCCCGCCCACACCAGAGGACCCCTGACCATGGTTCCCAGGAGAATAGCCCAAAATTGGATGCACTATGGCTGACCCTAGGTTCCCTCTGCCCAGTCCCACAGTCTTGCCTAGATCCAGATGCCACTCTTCATCCTTCCACACCCACTCTTTCCTGGGTCCTCCCTCCTGTCCCCCAGGGTCCCCAGACTCACTGCAGGGCCAGGAGGACCAGCCGGACCTTCGTTTCCCTTCAAACCGGGTCCACCCTATGAACCAGAGATTTGGAGCAACAGATGTGAGACGGGAGGGTGGGACACAACAAGAATGAGCGTCCAAGAGACATGCAGGGAAGGATGAAAGTCGAGGGGGGGCAGGCTCAGAGAAATGGGAGTGGGGTGACACTGAGGGATGCCAGGACAGCAGTAACTTTTCTCAGGCAATGCGGCTGGGAGATTGGGTTCACACTCACGGCAATGCCCGGGAGGCCTCTCTCTCCTGGGAACCCCCTCAGACCAGCAGGTCCATCCTTCCCTGGGGCCCCTGGGGGACCAGGGTCACCCTAAAATGAAACAAAAAGTGATGAGCCACAGCTATGCTCCCAGATTGGACAGAGAGATTTCTGGCCTTTCTCAAATCCCCAATTAGCTGTTCCCTTCAGCACCCCAACCCTGGCCCCCCAAGTTCCCCTCTGCCTGGCCCTTTACTGACCTTTGTTCCTTCTTTTCCAGATGTTCCAGTCAGTCCCTGCTCTCCAGGGGGCCCCGGGGGTCCTGGGTGACCTCTCTCCCCCATGGGCCCAGTTTCTCCTGCTGCTCCCTGGGAAAGAGACAGAAAGACTCCATCTCAGATCCTCTGCCCGTCTCCCTGCCCAAACAGGCCACTCTGGCCACCCTGAAATAACCCCTCTGGAACCCTTTTAGCTGTGCCCCAAAGCTACTGAGAGACTCCTAGGGCTCTGCTAGGCTACTGTGCTGGTGTTAACTCCCCAGTTTGGAGTAACCACACCACTTGTGTCCCCACTGGGGAACTGCCCCTTTGAGGCTCAAGAAGATGAGAAGCGGCCCAGGAACCAGACTGAAGTTGGGGTCCCTGCTCCAAATTCCAGCCCCGGTGGGGTGGGGGGCAGGTCAGGCAAAGCAGGGGCTGGGGCATGTGATTGGAAAAAGGGACAAAAGGGGCAGAAAGACTAACTCCAGGGTCTGGGGTCCATTCTCTCAGAGGGCAGACATACCTGAGGTCCCACCACCCCTGGAGGGCCAGGGGGGCCAGTCTTCCCTTGGAAACCCTGAGAGAGGAAGAGGAGAGAACAGTCAAAGCATATCAGGCATGGACACTGTGGGATGGACCCCAGGTTCCCAGAGGAACGGCAGGGTCACCACCAGGTCCTTGGCCATGGATCTGAGCAGCACCAGGTTGATCTCCACTCTGCCAGAAGAACCTCCCTGGTGGGCCTTCCAGACAGCTCTGGAAGTTGAAGGTCTCAGGGGGCCAGGGGCATCACTTACCACTTCTCCTCTCTGGCCTGGGTGTCCTGGCAGCCCGTCCTTCCCAGGGGGACCCTGGAAGGGGTTCAGATGTCAGGTGAACTCTGAGCTGGAAAGGAGGATGGAGAAGAAGGGTTCACAGAACCAAGGCAGGTCAGAGGTCAGCTTACCGGAGGTCCTTTGGGGCCAGGAAATCCATTGGGGCCTTGAGGTCCAGGGAGACCCTAGAGACAGAGCTGGGTTGAATCAGGAGAATGGGCAGGGGATCCAGCTTCCCCCCTGGGGTGAGAGGGCATGGGCTCCACTCAAGCTCCCTGGGGAGCATTAGGGATCAGGAGACTCAAACCACACTCACCCTTTCTCCAGGGGGCCCATGGGGGCCATCACCACCTGATGTTCCCTGTGGGGGGAAAGAGGGTCAGAGAGCAAGAGGAGCTGATTTCTAGCTATCCTGGAAGTCAGAGGAGTCAACGGGGAGCTGGGCTAAGGGCCAGATGGTGGATGGAGCCCTGCCAAGACCACTAACCTTAGCTCCAGACTTCCCCGTGGCACCTCGGGGTCCCCGCTGACCCCGTGGACCCTAGAGAGAGGGGAGGGGAGTTGTCAGAAGAATCCCAAAGCACCTCTTTGGATCTTGAGCCACATGTCTGCCCCCCTGCACTCACCGTGGGGCCCCGCTCTCCCCGAGGCCCTGATTTCCCTGACAGGCCCTGGTAGGAAGGAAGCAGAGACACCACATCACCCAGGGCATGACTCCTCCAACAGAGCAGCTCTGCCCTCTACACCCTCTCCCTTCCCCCAGCTTACCCGGGCTCCCTTCTCTCCACTGGCGCCAGGAAAACCAGGAAATCCCAGGGAGCCCTGGTGAGGGTAGAGAAGGAGAAAATTGAAAAGTCATAAAAAGGGAGGACCTAGAAGAGTCAATAGGGGGTCAGAACTGGTGACAGAGGCAGCAGGAAGGGAGGACTATGCTCTGCCAATAACTAGGTGTCCTTGGGCAAACCCCTGCTGCTCTCTGGCCCTCTGTTCCCCCATCTGTGGAATGGGGGTGGACTAAATTCACTCCAGGGTCCCCCACTGCTCTGTCAGTCTGTGCTTCCTGGAATCAGGGGTCAGAGAAGGGAAGAGGAAGGTCACAAAAGGGGCATCATATCACCTTGGGACCCTGGCGTCCAGGGTAGCCAGGCAGACCAGGAACACCCAGCTTGCCCTGTGGAGAGATAGGGAGCAGTCAGGAGCAAGAGGAGCCACAGATACCACTCCATCCCTGCCCCCAAGAGACCCCAAGCCCCAGAGACAGGAGCCAGCCCCTACCCGGCAAGGCTCCCCAGCAAACCTCCAGCCCCTGACCCCTCATCTCCTGTTCCACAGGCTGCCTGGCTTTTGTAATCTCTCCTTCCTGAGAATAGATTTTCCCCAACTCTGGTGGTGGGATCTCACCCCTTCTGTGTCTTTAAATCTGCAGTTCCATCAAGTTCCTCAGGACTGTGATCTAGCCCCTGCCTACCCTTCAACCTCAGCTCCCTTTGCCCAGCGCACACTTCTACTCCATCAAGACCAGTCCTCCTGCAGGCCCGCACACACCACACTCAGGAACGCCTCTGCCCCCACCCATGCTCTGCATCACCCCTAATCCCCCTGACATGCACCCCTTCCTCCTGATGCTTCAGGGCCCACCTTGCCCGGACAACTGTGAAGCAGAGGCTGGGAGCAGGGATTCTACAGCCTGACTGCCTGGGTTCAAACCCAGGCTATGCCCCTCACTGGCTGTGTGACTAACAAGCATCTTAACCTCTTGGTGCCTCATTGAAAGCTCTCTGAAACACAGGGCTGTAGTGGAGCCTGCCTTGCAGGACTGATAGGACAAGCAGGTGGGGTGTTGGCACTCGGTGAGTGAGGGCTTGCTGGAGTTACCTCTGCAGGTCTGGCTCACCTCCTCTTTGACTCTCCCTTCTTGGAATTTCTCCTGCTCTGAGTTCAGACACATTTTCACTCTGCCTTGCACCCATATACCTTATGCCAGCCTCATGCCTTGTCCTCACCCCTATGTCATGTAAATTCTCATGACAGGAACTTTTCCTTGACTTCTTATACATCCTCACCCCCACCCCTAACTGTCAGTGGCCAGGAGGAGCCTTCTACAGAGAGGTGAATAACTAATGGTCTTCAAATGACTAACTGACTCCAACTATTGGCACCCTAAAGTCGATCCTGATCCTAGTGCCCAGGCCTTCATCCCCTCCATGTCCCTAGAGCATGTAGGCACAGACTCCCTCATCCCCGGTCACCTTCTCGCCCATGAGCCCAGGGGGGCCAGGGTCTCCAGTGGGTCCAGTACGTCCCTTTGGTCCCTCAGGACCATCTTCTCCCCTGGAACCAGGAACTCCAACCTCTCCCTGGGTAAGAGGGTTGAAGAGGCAAGTGTCAGGGACTGGGGGTATAGGCTGGGCTCCAAGAGGAGAGGTAGGCCTCGGTGAGGCTGAGTAGAGTCCCAGAGCTACTGCAGGACAGGGAAAGGGAGAGTGCTGTGATCTTTGGGCTGGTGGGACTCAGCTGTAGGGTTGTCATTCTGCGGGGGGGGCAGGCTTTAAAGGGAAAAGACCACTGGATGGGGACTCTGTGGTTTCAGGAAATAGGCTAGTGATTGGGGGCTCCAAAATGGAGGAGGATCAGGACTTAGGACTGGGGGGCCAGTGTGTGGGCTTCTACTCACCCTGTCACCTTTCACACCCATGTCCCCTTTGAACCCGGGAAAGCCATCCTCGCCCTGAGAAAAATGGGGGTGAGAGCTCATCAGCGATGATGTGGAAGGTGGGGGGGGGGGTCAGGAGGTAAAATAGAGCATTTTAGAAAATATGGGTGGAAGGGTGGATTTCAGAGCTGGAAAGCAGCACAGGGCAGGCTGGAGGACAGGAAGTAGGGGAAGAGCTGGACCAAAGGGGTGGTGCTGGGCAGAATGGAGGGAGGTGCTGGGAAGCTGGAGGCACGCTGCTCACCTTTTCACCCTTATGGCCCTTCAGACCACGAATTCCATCCACACCCTAGAATTAGAAGGGAGATAGAGACAGGGAGATCGGGGGTGGAGGTTGGGAAGGATTGAGCTCCTGAGATCCCAGCTGCCTCCCCCAACCATAGTGCTTTATTTCCCAGCCTGGTTGTCCATTACCTTGACACCTCGAGGTCCCGGATATCCTAGAGGACCCTGAGGTCCAGATGGACCCTGGAAGAAGAAAGAGAGATACCTGTAAAGGGGTCTCAGGGTGTGACTTATGGAGGCCTTGGGGGTGGAAGAAATGGAAGAGACAACATTGGAATCTGGATAGGGATACAAGGCATGGGACCAAGAATACTTCAGCCACACGTGAATGATAAGCCAAGGAAATTCCAAGGATTTTGAGGCCCCAGAGTCTGGGTAGAAACTCCTCCAGGGATGAAAGCAGGCATGGACCATCTCACCTGGTTTCCTTTGGTTCCAGGGGGACCTTCCTTCCCCGGGTGACCCTGCAGGTAAAGGAAGGAGAATGTGACATCTGGCCACTGTTACCTTCCCTGCACCCCTTCCTTCACTTCTTTAGCCCAGCTTTCCCTTGTGACCCTAATGAAGCCTAGTGACCATGGGCAGGCACCACCAGTGACCTCCTGGTGTAAGGAACACACTATGTAGATAGTCACCAAAGGCACTTGGAGGTCATTCACTGGGGTGGAGGGTCATGTGGAATTTGGATTAAGAGGTAGGGACCCACTCACCGGAGGTCCATCTGAGCCAGGCATGCCAGGGAGCCCTGGTTTCCCTCGGGGACCCTGCAGGAAGACAAGGAGGCTCAGGGTCACCAGTGGGATCAGGTCACACCATGGCTGAAGCCCCAGCCACACATTTAAGGCTCTCCCTACACCTCCCCCGGTGTATCTCCTGTCCCCCAAATCACTTAGTCACTTACCTTCTCTCCATGAGGGCCAATGGCACCCTGGGGCCCAGGGAGACCCTATACAGAGAGAGAGAGGAGTCACAGGAGCCCCACAGGGGTGGACTACTCTCTCCTATAGCCAGCATCCCCATTCAGAGCATGAGTGGTGAAGGCTTGAGACCTTTAATTTCCATCCAGGGTCTGAACCACTGTGGAAGCCCAGGGGAAGTTGCTAAAGATGGGGAGGGGTTGGACAGGACAACTCACCTGGGTTCCAGGAGTGCCCTGTTGTCCAGGAGGTCCTGGCTCTCCCTGGGGTCCCTAGAAACAAGCAACCAGGCAAGGGTCAAAAGAAGATGGTGACAACAAACTTAGGGCCAAGAGCTGAGTCGCAGCAGGGGCAGCAAGAGGGCAAGAACCAGAACCAAGCAGGGAGTCAAAATGGAAACAGGACCTTGGCTCAGGGCCAGGTGGTGTCTCTGTGCCCATTACTCACCAAGCTCCCTTTGGGACCATGGGGACCATCCATGCCTCGGACTCCCTGAAACATGAGAGGGGCGTGAGCAGGCTGGAAGATGGGGCCAGGGCCCTGGAAGGACCTGTGGTTTCTGAGAGGCCTGGTCATTCCAGAGGGTGGGACGGGGCAGCCTGACATCGGTCAGACCTCCAATTCATCCCAAACCTAAGCAAACATAGCCAGCCCAGATCCACAGGGCGTAGGTCTATGGGTCTGTGGGTTTGTGGGGTTTTGTTTTTCTTCAGAATTTTTTTTAAGCTACCCTCAGAGCCTTTAGTACAGTGCACCATACGGCCCTGTAAGAGTACCTGGGAGTAAAGGCTGGAGCAGAGCTGGGGGCTGGGGGGGAAGGGAGAGGGAAACAGAAGTGTGGGAGGAAGAGGCAGCTAGAAAGGTTGGAGAGTTGGAAAGGTCAGGGGGTGAGGTCAGGGTCAGAAGTCAGGGATAGTCACATACCGGGGGTCCAGGAATACCAGGTGGGCCTTTGGGGCCAAGGAGACCTCGAGGTCCCTGCAATCAGGTGAGGGGAAGATATGGCATGTGTGGGCGAGAGGTAATGTGTCTCCTTCATGCCCATGCCGCTCCCCTGACATCCCCAGAGACCCCCCTCACCCAAACCCCTAGACACTCACTGATTCTCCAGGCAGTCCCCGAGGCCCAATCTCCCCATCGTCTCCCTGGAGGAGGAAGACATGATGAAGCAGCCTCACCTTCCCCACTTCTCCCATACTGAGCCCCTGCCCTAGCCACAATACTTACCCGCTCTCCATCCTCACCAGGGGGGCCAGGAAGGCCCTGGGCACCAGTATCACCCTGGAAAATGGGGGAAGAGATAAGAGGGGCCTCAGAACCCCCAATTCAGGCAGATACTGACCCTCTTTAATTAACCAATCAGTTTCACCCATTGAGTTCCTCCTGGGACCCTCAGCCTCCTCCTCTTGCCTTGAGATCCCTACCTCCCCACCCCTCCATGGAAGGTCTACCCCTCGTCACAATGCACTACCCCCAATATACTCACCCTATGTCCCTTCTCCCCAGGTAGCCCTGGGAGTCCATCAAAACCTCGGTCACCCTAGGGGAAGAGGGCAGCCCAAGTGAGGTCCCAGCCCTTTACCCACCCTATCCATCCCTACTTTGTCCTGAGTGTCACTTCATGGGGAAACCTGGGGAATTCAGTAATCCCCAGAGCTTAGATAGTGCTAGAAGCCACAGACATCAGAGAGGGACCCATACTTGTTACCTTCACTCCTGGTTCTCCAGGCATCCCTCGAGCTCCATCAGCACCTGCTCGGCCCTGGGGTGCAAAGGAAGTGTCAGAGCAAACAGAGGCACATTCCTTCACACTATGTGTGTGCCCTCTCTCCCACCCACACCCACCACACCCCCACTCACCCTTCGCCCAGCCTTGCCAGGAGGGCCTGTGAGGCCTTGAGGTCCTCTGGGGCCCTGGTGAGGAAGAGTCAGGGGCAGGGTTAAAAGGCATAGACAGAAAGGGAGGCCCTGGATGGGGGATCAAATGGGTGGGGCTTGTCACCTGAGGTCCTAGGTCTCCAGATTCTCCTTTCAGGCCAGGGCTCCCAGGCTGTCCCTGTGACAGAGAAGAGAGGTGGCTATGTTAAATGATACACCCAACAGTGACTTCAAAGCCCTCCCCAAAATAAGCAAAATAACTTTCAACACGGTCCCTTTCTAGAACTATCCCTACTCCCCCCCACACACAAAGAACTCCGTACCCCAATACCTCACTCACTCACCAAGGGTCCAGGGCGGCCTGTGTATCCCATGGGGCCAGGGGGTCCTCGGAGCGCCAGCTAGGGAAGCAGGGGACACAGCAGAGCTGAGGAAGAGGTAGCTGGAAACTCCCAACCCCAGTACACCTTCCACCTTCCAAATTTGCACTTCCACTCCTTGTATTCCCCCAAACCTTACTCTCAGCCTCAAACTAACCCAGACCTTACCCTCCTCCACAGTTACTCCAACCTACCCTTCCAATCCCTCCTAAAGTCTTCATTTGCCCTCCATGCCCCTCCAGCCTTATTTACCCGTGCTTGCTGCAGAATCGCCTGGGCCTGAGCCTCCTGGGCTGCTACCACAGGGCCCTTGTCACCCCCACCACTGCCAAACCGGAACTGAGGGGCAGAGAGAAAGGAAGGTGTAGGTTCTCTTCCAGGAAACCCATGTGACTCTCCCAACCAGAGGCTTCATCCAGAATTTCTGCCCCATCTCCCAGGTTCGGGGACAGCCCCACCCCATGCCTTCCTCCACTGTCTCCCACAGAAGTTTTCCGGATAATCACATAGAGATTTTCAGAAACTACTCGCATCTTCCTCCCCTACTCTCTGGCTTCTTCCTCTGGGAAAATTCTCCTAGAGTTTTTAGAAGTTCTAGACTTCCTGAAATATAGGATTTTCTGCCCAGTTCTAGATGATCCATGTTTGGTTCCAGGTCATCTAATGAGATCTAGTCCATCCACCTCAAAGATCAATCTCTTTGAGTTGATGGTCTTTAGAGAATCCTCCTTTGCTCTCCTGGTCTTCTGGTTCTTGGTGACAGAACATGATTCCCCTACCTTCCCCATTCCAAAGCCCAGAAGACAACTCACTGGGAGCATGAGCGATGTGCCAGGAGGTCCAGGGGCCCCATCTGATCCAGGGAGCCCTGCTCGGCCAGGGGGGCCCTGGAGTGGGGAGAAAATGAGGATAGGTGATAGTTGGGGAATGTTAGGGTCCTGGCATCATTGTGAATCTGTCTACAGGATAAATGTAGACTTTTCTAGATCTTTCCTGAACCCTCCCACTCCCACAGAGAAAAATGAGAGTGAGACACCAGATTACTCCCCTCCCCATCCAGAGCCTGTCCTCCTTTCTGGGTGTTGGAGAGCACACCAGCCCTTTGTTCATTAATCAATCTACTAATGAGGAGTTATTGAGCATGGTGCCCCCATTGGGTTCTAGAGGCTCCTCTGCAGCCCTTCCCTCATAACACACACACACACACACACACACACACACACACGTGTGCATGCGCACACACGCTGCTCCCTTACCCTCTCGCCAGGGTCTCCAACTGGGCCTGGGTTGCCCTGGATGCCAGGGGGACCAATCAACCCCTGAGGAACAAATGAGGAGTGGGTCAGGTGTGGGCATTCACATAGAAGAGGGGTATGTGGCTGAAGAGTGGTCTCTATAAAAGAGATTTGAGGATCTGGGAAGCTTTGGAAGGATTCTCCAGAGTTCCAAGAAGGAAGCCTGATCATATGTGGGGAAGGCAAAGATGATTGTGTAAGTAGGGTCTCTGAGAAAAGAATGGAGGCTAAAGGTCACAGCTAGACTCACCGCAGGGCCTTCTGGGCCAGGAGGCCCCTCCACCAGCATACCCTGTAGAGCCAAAGGTTGAAAGTCAGAGGCTACAGGGCTAGCAACCCACTTCTTTTTCTTCTTCCCCCTGCCTTCAGCTCAGTGATCAACAGACCAACTTACAGGTTCCAGCACCGCAGGTTCCCCCTTCTCTCCCTTCAGCCCCCGGGGTCCACGGGCAGCCTGAAGAAGACACACATGTAACCCCCAGTGGGACCGGTGAGCAGCCAGGACACCAATACTACCCCCATCCTAACTCCTACTTTCTTTCATTCCCAGATCCTCTGGACACCTCCCTAACCCTACCCTCAAAATCTCCCAGCCCTCTCCTAAGACTCCCTCTTCCCAGACCTCCCAAGCCTTCCAAGGAGACCTCAGGGCCCTCCACCTCCCAATTCCCAGCCCCACCTTAGCAAATACACTTCCTCATCTCCCTTAGAACCTCTTTCAGAAAGGTTTTCACCCCAACCCTTTCTGGGATTCCAAACTCCCCAACCTCCCCCAAACTCTCTCTGACCCCAGGAATACTTAGAACTTTAAGAAAACATCAACATCCTTACCCTTACCCCAATCCACCAAATAAGAATCTCTCTAAGATTGTGGATTGATTTTATCGGGGTTTGGAGGGAGGGCATGGATCCATATGAGAATCAGATATAATCCATGAAGTCTTTTCCAGAAAATAAAAGGTGTACGCCTTTGTGCACAGAATTTTTCTTAGAATTTCAAGGGGTTCACAAAGTTCAAAACTCTCCAGGGATTAAACATCCATACTCTAAATAGATTTGGAGATCAGGCCCCCCCTGATATGCCAAACTCAGACCTCATAACTGGTTTTTTTGGAAAAATACAGCTCTTGGACTGTTGCTCAAGCCCCAGAGCAGACTCCCCTGGCCCCGTTCTTCTCCCAGCAGGGACACTACACCCTTCCTCTGGCCCTCATATATACTCCAAGCCCACCAGTTCTTGCTTTTCTACACTTCTCAGATGTCCACTCCCAACACTAAGGCCAAAACCAAGATAAGGATGGGAAGAATGGAAATCATTCCCCAACACCCCCAACTCTCCCAGCAAAGATCTTCAGAATGTACCCCTCCACCTCCATCCTGCCAAACAGCAATGACCAACTTCTGAACTTTCCCAAATCCCAGATCAACCCCAAATTTCCAAAAAGCAGCAAAAGGGAAAGGCAGCAGAGGGTTCAGAGTGTCAATATTAGAGAAGGGAAGTGTGGGATGAGGCAGCAGTGTAGAGGAGGCAGCTCTAATTGCAAGGCAAGCAAAAGATGAATGGAGTAGACAGGAAATATCCCAACTGAGAAGGAGTGGTCGAAGACCTGGGAAACAATTAAGGGAGACATTTCAAAGGGACAAACACTTGGAAACAAGAATGATGCCAGGGCCAAGAAAAATTAAACATGGCCAAGATGGCTAGAAAATGAACTCGACAAACAGGAAGTGGTTGGACAGACAGGAAACAGCTAAGAAAAGAGGATCCAGGAAGTGGACCTTCAACAACAACATGGCTACCATGACCAAGAGAAAGAAGAAGTTCACAAAACAGATAAAAAGTGACTCCTGGAAAGGGGATTATGACAATGAAATGTGATTCTTCCAGAAAATACAAACATTGAGGCTAGAACACACAGGAGGTAGCCATGACAAATATCTAGGCCCACAATGGAAACTTTTTGGATTTGGATGACCTGAGACACACAGGAAGTGGCTTATTAGCAAAGGAAAGCTAATGAAGACAGCATGAAAAACTAGAAGCAAAATATAAATAAGTCCCTTTCAGTACAAATTTTCACAGTCACCAAGATGGATGCCATGGCCAGAGAAGACAGAAAAGGGCAGACAGGAAGTGGCTGTAGGTTAGAAAATATGACACAGGAAGTTAGATCATTTGGCAGCAACATGGATAAGAAATTGTTTTTACCAAGAAGAAATGATGGAGACAGACTGAAAACGGACACAAAGTAGGGGCTTAGTGACCAAAAGCTTTCTGAAATACAGCTTTATTAAGACAGAAAGTGGCCAAGAAAGACAGGAGGTGGCCATAGGATTAAAAAAGAAAGAAAATACCAATTTCCCTGGGAAGAGGAATCCATGAGGCGTCACAAGGCAAGGTATTTGGCAAGAGAAAGCAGAAAGTAATCCTTTCAAGCAACATATACAACTTATATGAACAGAAAATGGCAAATCATCAATGGGAAGTAGCTTGCAGCCAACAGACAAGAATCAAAAACAACAGGAAGCGATTCTTAGAGCTACCACTGGAGGTCAAGAATGGAAGAGGAGCTCCTTTCACTTACGGCTCCCGAGTGGGCTGTCTCCGCAGACAGGGCAGGGCCAAGCTCCGTCTCCTCACGATAATCGTCCCCATAGCCATATGTGTAATCGTAGGGCCCTGCTGGGGGGTCTGTGCCACCCTCCCCATAGTCCTCTGTCAGGAACCTGTCGGCTGTGGAGGGGACCTGGAGATCTGTCTGCTCCTTCCCGGGGATGGGGAGGGAGAGGGGTAGATGGGGGCATTAGGGCTGAGAGGAGGTTTTCCCTGGACCCGAGGGTGTGGCAACTTCTAGCCTTAAAGGATTCTGAGGGTAACTGGGACTGGAGTTTTTCCCCCAAGAAGAGCAAGGGAAGTGGTTGCATAGAAAGGGGATGGCCATCAAAGACCCAAAATGAGGAGGGATGCCCCAAAAATGGGCCTGGTGGGAAGAAATGATAAATTACAAGAAGAAAGAAGGATGGCCGGAGGGCTGGACACAGAGTAAACAGTCCATACAGACAATGGTAGACAAAGGATTCCAGAGAACAAAGAAATGGATGGAAAAACTGAGAGAAGAGAAAATGTGACAGCACTGGACAGAAAGTGACTCCTGGGAAGAGAAATACAATACAGAAAATAAAACTTTTTGACATCAACATGGAGAGGTTACTCCAGAATCAAAGAATGGAAGGAGACATGGACACTGAAGAAAAATGGCTATACTTAGAAAGACAAGCAGACCAATAGGTCTGGAGTGACTGGAAGGCCACAAATGGACGTGACAAAGAACCCTCCGGCCAGAGGAATGGCTGATTCACCAAGATGACATGGGGCAAGGGGGGTGGGTCACAGATGCCCACTGCCCCCAGCGGGGGTTAGGGTTGGGGATGAAGTTACCTCCTCATGGGGTGGCAAAGGGCTTGGTTCCAGGGTTCCTTCCTCTCCACCTGGGGTGGGATCCTAACCCCAAGGGGAAGGGGAAGAGTAGCATGGGGTGGGAAAGGAAAGAGAAAGGTTAGTGGGAAAGGAGGCAAAGCAGCACCTTGTCCCCCTACCCCCTCACCCCGTGGGCAATGTCTGTCTGTGCTGGGGGGTGGGGGTTATCTCAGATCTTGCAGCCCCTTCAGAGGGGGGGACAGTTTGGGGAGAGTGAATCTCCGAGGTCATAGAGGTTTGGGGGCACAGATCTGGATGCCCCAGCTCTACCTGCTGGTAACCGCTTCCTCTGGTCCTGGGGGGGGCCCGGACAGTTGGGGGAGCTGCCCGCCGAGCTGGGCGTCGGAAGGGGGGAGGGTGGCCCCGTGCTTGGCCAGAACCTCCAATTCGAGAGGGCCTCCGGCCTGGTGAGGGGGGCGCCTGCCGGGCTGCTGACCTCTTGGCAGGTGGGGTAGGCTTTCTGGGAGGGGTCCGACGCCCCCTGGGGGAAGGGAGCACCCTGCGGTTGGGGCTCGGTGGCCTCTGCAGCAGAGAGACATGGGAGGGGGCAGTGAGGAAACTCCTATAATCTAAATATATAATGTCTCTTCCCACATGTTAAGAGGGGAGGAAGGTGTCATAGGAGATGTTTGCAAGGGGTGGCAGGAGGAAGGGGAGAACTGATGGGGTCCCTCAAGTTTACCTGATAATCAGGGGTCGTCCCTGTAGTCATCTCATCATAATAGGGGGTCTCGTAGTCATAGAAGAAAGACTCAGTGGGCTGGGGTTCGGGAAGGGGCAGTGGAAATAGTAGGAAGAGGTAGAGGTGCAAGAGTGAGGAGAGGGAAATGAGATAGTGTGGGAGTTTGGAAAAAGGGTAGGAGTTGAGGATGAAAGGAGAGGTCAGGGGGTCAGGAGAAGATGGGGAGAGGTGGGAAGGGGGGGTGGATCCCACATGTGGGACAGAAGCAGAGACATGATTAAGAGACTGACCATCTAAACTTCAGACCACTGACCCCAGATCATATCTCACCCCTAACCATCTGGACCCTACCCAGTCCAGAATTCCTTTCCCTCCCCTCCCCCACAGCCCCTTACTCTGCATGTCCATGTGCAGGGGGCCAGAGACTGGGCTCCTACACAGAATTCCATAGACCCAGCCCTCCTCTGGGATTTTCTCTAGCTCCTGCTCCTTCCCATTTCTCTTCCTAGGTCTTACCATAACAGCTTCCTTCTTGCTCGTTCTGTCTCTCCCCTTCCATGCTCTCCCATCTGCCATCCTCTGTCCCCAAATCTTCCCCCCCACACACACATACACACTGTCCCCCAATCTCTTAATTCAAGGAAGGGATGGGAAACCCAAGGACACAGTCCCAGAAAGACTGGCAGAGGAAAGGAGACATGAGCAGGGGACACAGCTCCCAGCCATGAATTCTTCATAATGACACTTTTTATTTTTAATTGAAAATAAAAAGGTTGATGAATGAGGACTGGGAGGAGGGAGTGATGAGAATAGGGAGGTATGGTTAGAGAGCAGCCCTAGTGGAGGGGAGGATGGGAGCCCAAAATAGTATGGGGAGCTCTGGAACATTGGGGGAATTGCCCTGGGGAGGTGTATGGGTATCTTCCCTCCCTGGGGTATGCTGTGGTTTGGGGTTCACCCAGTTCTCTCACCTGTCGCTGGGGTTCCTGGTTTTGTGGCCTATGAAGTCTTGGTGGCTGCTGCTTTGGAGATCTCTGGGCCCTGTGAGAGTGTTGTTTCTGAGGTCTCTCCCTCCAAGCTCCCTCACACTCCAGCTCCTTCTGTTCACAGGATTCGTAGGCAGCTTGCACCCCTGGGACAATGACAAGCTCCTGGATGTCACCCTGCAAAGACACAAGGAAGAAACACCAATGGAGGGAGGCAGAGAGGGCCTCAGAGAGAAACAGAAGGTAGAGTTTGGGACACAGGTAAGAGCCAATCCTATGTAAAACAACATAATGGGAGAAGATCGTTGTCAGCCTTTTCAGTTTTCAGAAGACCCTCTCATCCATAATCCCATTGGACCTTCACAACAACTGGGAAAAGTCAGTAGGATAAGGATATTTATGCCTATTGTCTGATATATTCCATTCAGAACAGCTCAAAGGGACAATGACTGCCCCCAAGGTCACTTTCAATGGTAGACTCAAGACTAGAATTCAAACACTCCAACTCTAAGTCCAACACTGTTTGCCTACCTCCTGCCCCTATGGTAATGCATCAACTTTTTCACAAAGGCCCTGGAAACAATGGCCCAACCTTAGTTGCTTTGACCTGCCAATGGCAGTGATGATGATAATTCTCAGAACCTCTAGAAATGGGGGAGAGGGAAGCCATTTTTGAATTCCAATGGCATTTACTTGTGCCCACACACGGTACTTAGCACAAGGCTGCCTTATATTGTAGTTTGGGGTTATTGTCTCATCTTCAAAGAGGAGCCAGGAGCTGCTAAGAATAATAGAGACCTTACATTACTCTTCTGTGTTCCCCCTGAAACTGGGACAGCAGGTATTCAGAGAATATTGACTGGCTAGGTGAGAGGATGGATGGATGGATGGATGGATGGATGGATGGATGGGGGCTCAAATGCACCACTGGCTGGAGGGTTGGTGGATGGTGAGTGAGCGAATGAATGAATGAAAGAATTGGTGGGTAGATAAATGGAGGTGAGAAATAGAGGAAACAGAATGGTAGGTAGGTAGGTGGATGGAAGGGAACATGTGAATGAATGAATGGTTGGATGGAGAGTGGTTGGGTGAGGATATAGGTGGGTGAATGAGTGGATGAATGAATACATGCATCCTCATGTGCATGGGTAGATGGGCTGGGTGGGTGGATGAATGAGGGAACTAATGGATGGGTTCAAGATGGATAGATTGATGGATGAGTGAAGAAGAAAGTGGCAGGGCAGAGGAAGATGGGCAAGCGTGTGGATACAAACCTGAATGTTTGATTAGTGTGTGAGCACATAAATGAATGAGTGGGAATTACATGAGTAAATGAATGGGTGGGTGCAGATAGAGATATTAGTTAAAGAGATGAATGGATAGGCGGACTGACGAAGACTGATGGAGACATCTGTCCTGCCATACACATGGGCACCTATTTCTCCTACATAGAAAATCACCCCTGAGGATAGGATATGGAAATACAAACTCATAAGAGGTCAAATGAAGGGTCAGGGCATAAGAAGATGGAGTACTGGTCCCAGAAGGGGAACAGACACAAGATATGAGACCAGAAATACCTCTGTTCTCTGTTCTCTGTTTGTTACCTCAAACACTTCTTCATCCAGGATACGGGCACCAAAGATAATCACTCCATGGGTGTCCAACAGCGGACGAGCACTTCGGGGGAGAGGCCGGGTGACTCGCTTCTTGCAGTCAACTATGAGGGTGACAGACTGGCCCTTCACAGCCACTGCCACACGGTGCCACCTGGTCATGGAGGGAGCGGTTCAAGTGACTGACGGACGGGGGGCGGGGAGTCAACAGGGCTGGGGAGCAATTGATGGAAAGGTTGGAGCCAATGACAGTAATCGTAGTAGCATCATAACAGCTACCATTTGTTGAGTGTTTACAATGCACCAGGCACTACTTTTCTCATTTGATTCTCATGATTCTCATCCCTATTTTACAGCCCATAGAAACTGAGACTTAAAACAGTTAAGTAACTTGCCTAAGGCACAGGCAAGGATTTAAACTCTAAAGCCCAAAATCTGGGCTTGAAGTAGCTGAAGCCCAAAACCTGGGCTTGAAGTGTCGCTAGGTTGGTGACATGTGGCCAAAAACGTTGGCAGGTTTCCTAGTTTAGGGAGTAGGGGTTCTGGGGCAGTGGCCAGAGGGGAGCTCCTGAAGGTGTAGTCCAGGCAGACCAGAGGAGCAAACGGACTTACTTGCCATCTGCTAGGCTGAGGCCTCGGAAGACTGGCTGAGCGGGGGGTCGAGGCCTTCCAGTCTGGTCCTCATACAGGAAGCGGAAGGGTCGGCCAAGCTCCAGGCCCAGCTGTCGGACACCCTGGGCACTATAGAGAGTCAGGAGGGGAGCCTGGAGGCCAGGGCGGGTCCGGACAGCAGTCAGCAATGAGAAATCTTTGGGAAAACCTCCTGGTACCCGGGAGAGACATAACCAGGTGGAATGAGAGGCACAAAGAGCCAGAAAACCCTTCCCTTCTGGTGTCTGATTCCAGACCCCACCCCATGACCTACCCCAGCTCTCACTAGTTCACCATGTCACCCATACCTGGGAAGAGCTGGCGGGTGGGTGCACTGAGCTGGGCAGGTCGGGACACTCGGTAGGCCACATCAGCTGGACAGATGCCTCTCGCCCTCCGGACACCATCAGGAAGGGAGGGGAACCTCAGGGCCCGGAGCACATCCACAGGGGGTGCACCTGGGAAAGTCCATAAGGATCAGGAGAAGGGACACACCCTCAGGACGGCCAAGATATGGGGGTATTTGGGATCTAGAACTCAGCTTCCTGGGGCTCAAACTCCCTGAAAAGAAAGGTCACCTCTTCCGTACTTGTCTCTGAATGCCCCTTAAATGGACGGGAAATCAGAGTCACCTGGGAAAGGGCAGCACTGGCCCTGTATTCAGCTCCATGTGACCCCTGCCCCTCTCCCTCTCGGTGTGTCTCACTCAGTCTCCTCTGATCTTTGTCTTTCAGCCTATGAATCTCTCTCTACTCTCCACCATCTCCCCTTCTCTCTCTCCGTCTTACTCTCCCTGTCTCCACATCTGTTGACCTTTGTGTCTCCCTGTCTTTCTCCCTCTCTCACTCCCTTTCTGTATCTCTTGGTCCCTGGGTCTCTGGCCTCTTTCCCATATCTCCAGCACAAACAACATCTGGGCAATCGATCATCCTGGGCACAGGAGGTGCAGGGGGGCCACCAGGCAGGGAGTAGAGAGGCAGATCTAAGGGAACGGGGCTTCGGGCTGCTTCAGTTCCGTGTTTGGGGAGGTGGGGAGGACCACACTGAGGAAGGAGAGAGCAGAAACAGCCACCCCAGGAGTCTATACCCCTGGCTGGGAGATGGGCTGGGGGGGCGGGGGTGGGAGCTGAAGCTGCCACGAGGAGCCGGAGCAGGTCCAGGGCCCTGAGCCACACATCTGTGGATCCCATCAGAGTCCTTGCCCAAAACCCGGGCAAGCTCCCCACACCTGGAACTTCAACCCTGCCCCACCACCCCCACCTCTTGGATCCAAAGATTCAAGACCCAGGCCATCAGCCCTATCCACCTTGAATTCAGCTTCCCAAGGCTCACACTCCTGGGAAGACAAAGGTCACCTCTCCCTCGCACTCCTCACGCCATCAGCTCCAGATTGGAAAAATTCCAAAAAAAAGTCCAGCAAAATTTTCACAGAAGCATGGGGCAGGGCAGGGGCCAGAGTGATCAGGAGAGGAGAGCTGGGTGGGGTGGGTGAGGTGGGGCGGACAGGCAGAGAAAAGGCCCTTTGAGTCCAGGCGCGGGGAAACCACGGCCGTGCCCTCCCCTTCACCAACATCCCCCCCCCCCCCCCCCCACCCTAGCCTGGCCCCTGAGTGTGGCAGCTCCGCAAACACCAACACACAAGGGCCGCTTTGAGAAAGGAAGGGTGAGTGAGACAGAGAGACAGAGACTCACAGAGACCCCAGGCCAAGGAGACCTCAGAGGCCCCCGCCTTTCACCAAACCCCACAGGAGTACAGTTCCATCCTATAGACGGTCTACCCACAGGACTGCCCACCCATCTGCCCACCTCAGGCCACATACGTGCCCCACTGACTCCAGCCTCAGTCTGCCCCACACGCTCCCCACTAGTAGCCCCATCACCCCCACCATTCTACCTTTGGCCCCCAAGTGCCCCATTTTTTACTCTAATGAAGTCCACACTAGCCTATCTACCTACAGAGTCCCATCTCTAGCCCCTCAGCCCCAAAACAAGAGACAGTCATCTCAGCCATCCCCTGCCTCCATGCTAGAGGGTTCCTTTCCTCCTTAAGAAAGATTCCAAGAGTCCAGAAACATCACACACTTCAATTTCCAGTCCCTCAGCCTCATCCTCCTCACATCTTGAAAGTTTTTCCTTCTGTAATCTAATCTAAATCCTTTATGCTGCTATTCTGACCATTTTCTCTCCACATCGGAGAAGAAATGAATGGTGGAGTTACATGCAAATTATCCTCTAGTGTTTCTATGAGTGGGAGGCTGGCTCCTGCCTGCTTAGGACCCAGGTGCTCCCAGCCCCCTCCTGTCTGACATCAAATCCCTTTCCTAGATGCCAGGACTTCTGGATCCTGGGAAAAAGAAGGAAAAGATTGGGGTTGTGGACACCAGGGTCCCAGGGGAGCCCCGCTGGCCAGAGGGGGAGGGGTGGGGCAGGAATGCAAAGAGTTGGCTCTCGCCTCAGACACCTGATCCCAGCCTGTCCAGCGGCCGTCCTGTTGGCAGCCAGCCCCAGTGCTCCCCAGAGCCAGCCGCGTGGCAGCATCGAGGGCACAGGGAGGGGGAAGGGGATACTGTCGGGAAAGCCAGTGGGACAAACAGTCCAGGCATCCCTTCTTTCTCTACTCACTAGGCTCTGCTCTGACCCACAGATGCTCACCCCTCACCCCAGACATATAGATAGAAAGCCCGGAAGATATACACACCGTCCTCACCCATCAACACTGGCATCTACCTGGCCACCCCAGCATTGGCTGGACTGCACCAGCTTTGGCCAGCTTTGGCTCTCCCTGAGTACCTCAGCATCCAGTCCCCTCTTTAGGTGAGCCTCCACCTTTCAGTTTTACCTGCCCTCTCCCAGTTACTCCAAGGAGGCAAAGAGATCCCTATCTTTGTTCCAAGGGAACCGAGTGACCTGCCCTCGAGTCTGGACCCTTAGCCCCCTAAATCCCCTTTTTGAACTTAGAAGCTCTGCCTCGGGCATCAGCTATCTCCTATCCAGGGGGGTACTCAGAGCTGCAGCCTGACTCCAAGAACCCAGGCGTCGGACTCCTCTTACCTGCCCAGGCAGGGACGGCGCTCAGCCCCAGCACCAGCGGTACCAGCAGGAGGAGGCGATGACAGCGGCTGCACCGCTCCATGGCTGGCGACCCGAACGCCCGGTCCCAAGGACCTACGGGCGGCCGGAGACGCTGAACGCCCCCAAGGCTGACAGGAGAGAGCGAGCAGGCTTTGAGCCTCGGACGCCCGGGTCCTGCGGAGGTCAGAGGCTGTCGGGTAGCAACAGCTCTCAGCGGCCCAGCTCCATGCAACGAGGCGCCGTCGGGGCTCTGGCGCTGCTCCTTCCTCAGTGGCCGCCGCTCCTGTGTGTCCCCGGCCACCCCGGCGGCCCACAGCCCCCACCCCGGCCCAGCCCCCGCCTCCAACCGCCCGCCCACAGCCACCG